CAGGTGCTGAGGAGGTTGTTGCAAATAATTAACTCTCACTACTGCAGCTGGTCTAAATGCATTGGGATGCTGAAACGTAGAATAAAAAATGAAGTTTGAAAGTTTTCCACTTCCACTCTTTCATTCTTGACCAGGACTATTGTTACATCTTCAGTCAACACTAGCTTAGTTGTACAATGGATAGAAACATCTGTGTTTCTGTCTTGACAGCTTCAAGAATTAAAACTTGAAAGAGAGGCAGGACTAAAAGACCAAGAGGGAGGTAATCGTGTTTTTGAAGTACGGTCTCTCAAATTCCGAACAATAATAAAAGTGACCAGTATTTCCTGGCACTGATGTGACTTGCTCATCTAATTTTTATTTAGGTGATGTGCATTTGGGTACTCCAGCTTCACTATAGAAAATCCCATATAAGCTTCTAATTAAAGCCACCTCCAGTCAGGACAGCACGAAAGTATGTCACAAATGCAGGTGTTCATGACAATGGGGCTTCACATCTTAAGAACTTCTATGCACAAAGATGCTTCCCTCAATTAGGACCAATGCACAGAAAGATGCAAGTCTGCAAATGCTGTCCCGAGTCTTCCCAGAGGGCTGTGTAAGGGCAGTACAGTGGTTTTGTGAACCACCAACCTGAGAGGTCTTTCTTGAACACAGGACAGTATATACTGGGCAAACACACACCAGAGGTGTGTCTGAGAAATCAAAAGCTTAATAAATAAAATGCCCCTGGCAAGGGCAGGTTATGAAGCCGCTCTTTCTTTCACATTGGCAAAAACTCCTAAACAAATTCAGAAAACCAGGCCCAATGAGCTCAGAAGACCTTAAATCACACTAAACTAATTCCAAGCCTACAGTTAAGAGGGAAATCATCCAGAGATACCAACTCCAGTGGGTAGCACACATTTACTGGCAAAACACAGTTTGTTTGGTAACTCACTCAGGTTACCGGTAAGGACATCCAGACCCTGCACTTTCATGTTTACAGATGGGAAAAGTCCTGGAAATCTTCCCCTGTGTCCCCCACTCCTCTGTTTTTCATTGCAACTTCAAAGTTTCTTGCAGCCCTAAGAAAAACACTGGCCTGATTACCTCCATGATGGCATTTCTTTAAACTGGTACAATGCAATGAAGAATCACCTAGGTGTGAGGAGGTGGGAGGCCCACACTTTAGGGTCCAGAGAGCTCATGGCCCTGACACAGAACATTCTGCAGACCTCCCCTTACTGCCGAATATCACCACAAACTCTCTGCCTGTCACTGCTCCTGTGCCCGGAGCAGGAAGCAACACCACAAACAGCAGAAGTCAGACCTGCTTCTCAGCCGTGCAAATCACCATGCTCTGTCAGAGGCAGCCTGCAAAAACACAACAGCAAATGGTCGAGCATTTGCACCGCTCATTTGCCCATCTGTGATTTGTCTTTCTAGGGCAGCTGAAATCGATGGACAACCCTCATCTGACAAAAAAATCACTATGAACTTTGCATCTGAACCTGCCTCCCTCCTCTGCTTCCTCACAGATTCCAGTGGACAAAGGTCTATTGTCTCATTTATTCGTTTTATTACCCCACGTCTCTTTTTCTCCACCAACTTCACCCACATCATTCCAGCATAATTCTCTAAATTTTTCAAAATCAAGCATGTTGTCTGCCTACCCATTTTAGGACTAGCACAGGACATGAGCTTTGCACCCTTCTTTTATAGAAACAGGACTGAACTTGTCAAAATGATGCTCTTGCTCTCCTGTTCTGTACAATTCCCTGAAGAGTCAAAACATCCACTGGACAGAGGAAGAAATGCAGAAAACAGCTAACACTTTCAGAGATGTGAGTGCGATCCCACTCTCAAGTCACACACATGCACAAGTAGCTAAGTAGCTGCTACAAAGTAGGAAACAATAGAGAGTAATATTATTTTATTAGCCAAAAAACCCCACATTAAAATCCCTCTTACACCAAGAGGGGATTTATTGCATTGAACTTCAGCTTTCTAATAGTTAACATCTAGCTAAGCAAGTTACCAAGTTACCCAGATTCCCACTGTAGTTACAGCTGAATGGAGGGAGACCCTGTGTCTGGTTCAGGCTGGCAAAGCGAGGCCACTCTGGTTCAGACTCACCACCTAATTTTCTGTTCCCAGTTCACAGCTTGCTGTCATTTCCGGTTAACTACATATTGGGATGGAAAGATTACAGTAAGGTTACAAAGGCCATGTTCCCAGAAACCCTCTAAGCGGTGACTTTCAGTGAAGGTAGCAAGAAAGCATTTCTGAATTTTAAGCCTCTGCTAAGCCCCAGAGATGAAATCCTGTCCCTGCTGAAGGTCAGTAGCAGATCTACCACTGACTTTACAGCACCAAGAAGCTCTCCTTCTACAAGCTGTTTCCCTAAATTCATTGTACCTTTGAAGTCCAGTGCCTGGTTTTCATAATTACTTTCAGTCTTGTGGACTCTCATATCCTGTGCCAGGTTTGGAACAGCAATAGCATAGGACAATCTTTCTTTGAATGAATGCAAATTGGATGAACCATAAACCTTCAAAAGAAGAACTTACTCTAACAAAATGTGCAGACTTAGAACGGTTGGGAGAGGAATGAATTGCACCTCTCAGGTCCCTCTGTTTATTATTTACACAGGTTGTCAACTGTGTGCTGTGGGATTTAAGAATGACTGGGAACATCCTGTGCCAGATGATGGTGTTACCAACTACCATCTTCATTTATGCTCTGTAATTAGAAGGAAGCTGTAGCAGAAGGTGAAGAAATCAGCCCATACCTGGATCTGATGACAGGCAGAGGACATCATAGCTACTTCTATACTGTTATTGAAGCTTGCCTACCACCTACAGTGGACACATTTAATGTCTGGGCATGGGTTTGGAGTCAAATGCAGAGAATAGAAAGAAAAGCTTGGCATTACTTTACTGCCCAGCACTAGCTGAGCACTCACCTACCTGCAGCCCAGGCTGTTCAGACACAACCATGTTCATACACACTACAGCAAGATACACTTCAGGGGAATGGATGAATTAGCCAGGGCCTTTTTTCCTTAAAGACCTGACACCCCATGCAGAAAGACACACTGGAGGATGTAGCCCTCTCGGATGTACTCATACACAAGATGCAATGCCTGGTCAAACTTTTCAGTGACTACAAGCCTCAATCTCCAATGCCATCCAGATTTAAACATCCCTGGCAGTGGTCAAGGCCATGTTGGACAGGAACTGGAGCAACCTGGTCTAGTGTGAGGTGTGCCTGCCCATGGCAGGGGGGTAGGAACTAGATGATCTTAAGGTCTTTTCCAACCCAAACCATTCTATGATTCTATGATCTTCTACTGTGAAGTAGAGAGGCAAACTAAAGACAAATTACAGTAAACTGCACATGAAATAAAAAGACATTACATCAGGCACAAGAAACTTACGAGACAGAGTTCACTGGAACGTGTGATAATATTCCAGAGAAGTCCCTGTAGGTTTGTCATACTCGTTGCTGGGCACCACTGTGGCTACTGCTGAGGACAGGAAGCACTGTGCTGGGGGAAACAGGGCTAACCCAACACGGCTGGCTCTATGCTCAGAAAAGGAGTGCCTATTAATAAATAGGTTAAGTAAACAGCTTGGCTTCGGGGAAGCATCCAGCCATCTCTCTGAGCCGGGCAGCAGCAGCAGATCTGCCCCGAACCATCTGAAGCACAGTGAAACCATTCTGTGATTCTATAAACTGAGCCAGACTTCTCCAGAGGAGAAAAAAGGAGGCGAGGAGGAGGGTGGCAATCGCAGTGCCACGGTGTCAACAAACGTGCCAGTGCCGATGCCACAACATACCCCTCGGCGGTGACCAGTGGGGCGCCGGCAGGCCCAGCCGGGTCAGGTCCGGTCTGTCTGGGGCGCAGACAATGGGGTCCCACAGAAGGAGCTGCCCCCGGCACAAGCCACCGCGTTCTCCACCACGCATCTGCTGGGTGAACCCTGACATCAGCCCTCACCACTCGCGTCGCCGGCAGTTCCTGTCTGAAGGAGGGCGGCCGGGGATGCAGTGAGACCCCACATACTTGAGAGAGGGATGCTGGGCCCCGGCAGGAAGACAGTGCGTTAATTGTCGCACAAAAAAAGCCTGATCTCATGAGATAAGACTTTAATCACAGCTTCCCCGCCTGGGGGGTGCAGATGGCATGGGTTTCACACGCACACACACACAACCCTGCTGCCCTAGCATGCCTCAGGCGCTTCGGCGATCTGCTCCCAATTTGGGGTGAGCAAATGTCTGACTGGAGAAGTTCTTGGGAATGTATTTTTTTCCCCTCCACCTGCTCCTCTGGCTTTCTAAAAATGGAAAGAAAACCCCATAGGAAATAAGAGAGGAAGTCTGGGGTTTAAATTATGCGCTGACGCGCTCAATGCCTCTACAGAAAACGGGTATCTGTCTTGCTTAGAAATTACTTTTAATCTACTGTCAGAGGATTAATTATTATCAAATCGTAAACTCCAAACTAGAAAGGAAAGATCAGGTGACTTAACCTTCTTCTCAGCACGGCTGTGCTTCTCAGTCCTGGAATAAACTCCCAGGCTTTCACTCACCAAGAGAAGCACTCCTGGAAGCCACCAGTCCACCCCAGGGCTGAACCAGCCAGCACTGTCCCCCATGCGGCACTGGAGGACACATGGGCAGGCAACAGAAGAAAACACCATCTTAGTTGTGCCTCTCTGCCTGCTCAACCCCTGCATTCATCAAGGCTGATGAAGAAATAATTTCGGGCAGATGAGGCTTACAGCCTTACTGACTAAGTGAGGCACAAAGTTTGCAGGGGAAGATGCTGCGAGGCCCCTGGGAGCAGTGGCCTGTTTTCACCTGCCCTCTTAGTTTTGGTGGTGTTTGGGAAAGACCATCCTTCCATATGATGGACTTGACACAGCAGCAGCTCTCAGCAGTATCCATCAGGAAAGCCCAGCGTTGATGGTGGTTGCGAGCTGGGCTGCCAGACGCTCCCCCAGCGCTCTTACCCTGCAGTACTCATCGATGGGCTTCAGCCTCTTCACAGCTACGTCTCGGACATGGCTCCTCCGGAACAGGATCTTGCCTGAGGAGGGAACAGATGAAAGGGCAGCGTTAGAGGAATTGCCTGCCATGTGGGATAGTGCAACAGCACCATGCAGATAGGCAGCAGACAGGGTTTCATCCCTGGCTCCAACCATGGCTGTTGACAGTGCCAGTGAACTCCGCAACCCTGCTATGCTCCCAGTGGAGGAGTCCCGATACTGGAGAGGTTCACACAGCAGCAGCCTTGTGTGACTGAAGCCCCCCATTGCTATGAGGCAGACAGGACAGCACGTTGGGAAGAGGTGTGAGCAGCAGATCTGCTCCTGCTCTTGGGGCAAACTGCACAGAAACACGCTGCAGGGCACACAGTGGAGGGATGGGGAGCAACAGCTATAAACCAGGCAGGCATGGCACCTCTTGCAGATGGATGCTGCTGGTCTTAAGTTTGCCCAGGAGATGCAGCACATGGCCAAGAGCTGCCACAGGCACAGCAGCTCTGTGAAACCTTGGTGACTGCCACCAAAATCCTGCTTGTGTGAGCTGCTGAAAGGGGACCACAGTGACTCACAGGGATGCTTTTGATTTTGTCCTGTAGATAACACAAAAGTTTTGGTTTCCTTTCAGTGATGGCATTTTCCTGGAATGGACTGACACTATGTTATGACTCCCGTCTACTTTGAGGCTGCTTTGGCACATCCATGCTCGCAGTGCAGGGAGCATCGCTGGGGTGGGATGCAGGCTCCATCTGCATCCCATGCCTGCCCACTCAGCTACCTCCCACAGCGGATGCTCCTGCCTTACGGGCAGACAAACCACACAGCCAGCTCATGAGTAAATACAAGGTTTTTGGTGGCAGAGCCCTTAAAAATCTACAGAGGGAAACCAAATAACAGAAGGAAAATAAACAAACTCTTTTTTTGAAAGTAAAAGAAATAATAGCCTCAGTGTCCTTACTGGGTGACATTTCTGCAAGCAGTTAAGATTAAACGAACGGCTGGGTTTTGTGTGAAACTGATTGTAACAAAGTTTATCAAAATAATCTAGAAGCTGAGTTTCCCCACACACAAGGATGTCATAGAGTTGGTATTTTTTCGGGTAGAAGGGATTATATCTTCATATCCTTTTTTGGTGGTTTTCTTCCTTTTTTCTTTTGTGCTGTATTTCTTTTAATGTAATGAGACAGGAATAAATTATATGTTCTCTTGTGGTGGAAGAAAACAGTATCTGCCAGCATTATTTAGCCCATAAAAAAACCACTGACATATATACCACTCCCAGCTCCAAACTTCTGCCAACAGGCAAATACGATACTCATCCATAGATCACGGGATAAGAAAATGGACTAGGAAATGAAATCAGAAGCAAAATCTGAATATGTGGCTTTGATTTTGTCATGATTACACAAGCTGAGAAGTTAATGAAATAGCAGCCTTTAACAGTCCAGTAGCAGAGGCTCCAAACCTTTCCAGACTCTGTCTCTTTTGATTGCCTTTTCCTCCATAGCTGCTAATTTGGAAGGTGATAAAGCCTTTTGTTTCAGACAGGAGAAAGTAGTTTATCTCCATTTCCAATTCTGGCAGCAAAACAGTTTGTCTTGTGAGGTAAAGCCTTTTCCTACTGCTATAAATTTATCTCCCTTGGTTCCCTTTGGTTATCTCCTTACAAAGACGGTGATGAGCCATCTCTGTAGGATGTGGTGCCACGCAGTCACAGAAAACAAGGCACATCTTCAGTAAGCATCTGAGATGTTTCAAGCTTGAATGATTAGGTCAAAAGCTGCTGGAGAAGGGAAGTAGCGCTCACATCTCCCTGCACTGACTCTCTTTGGACACACCAAACCATTGCTGCTTTCCTGCTTCTCTGTCCGGTGAATGGGGAGAACTACCTGCACTTCCAAAACATTTCTTCTTATTTCTGACAGCCTCCAGGATCACAATGCACTTGCACTGCATATCTGCACTAAGCCCCTTTTTGGGGGTCAAGGGGTGTGAGGGTAGCTGTAGAGAAAAGACTTTCTGGAGCACTTTCTCAATGCTCCAGAAATGCTGGTGTGGGAGATCTCGGTATTTCTTTGCAACTTGCATAAATATACTGCAAAGAGAAAGCAGCATTTTGGAAACATTCTCACTTTCTGGCTTTCCTGTTTTCAGTTCAAGACGTGAGTCGAAAGTTGAACGGGTGACCATATGAAAACATAAAGGAACCAAAGACTTAAACACATTAAAGATCTCCTGTAAATGCAATTCAGCTTTCCTAAAAATAATAATAAGGAATTTTATATTAAACACAAAGTACAAAAAAGACCCCAGGATTTGATGAATCTTATTTCACTCCTTACATGGAGATGGAAAATATCAGGATGAATGTGCTGTTAGGATGAAGCAAAGCCCAGAAGGTGCTTCCATTTTTATCCCTTCAGAAAAAGAAAATTTTCCCTCCACTACTGGAAGCTGGAAAAGGCTCGACAAGGGCTGTGGGAAGATCTGTAGCTGCCCAGTCCATTATTAGTCTCAGTCATTCAAAACTGAGATCTGGAGAAGGTTGAGTAGTTTAGAGCACTAAGGAGTAAGAGCAAGAACTAAAAAAAGGACACTCTGCAAGCCCAAGCAGTTCTGGTGGGCAGCAAGGAGGGACCCCCTCACAAAGGCAGAAGAGTCTCATTGCCAGGGGTACTGAAGCACCTCTAAGGAAGAACAACTTCCCGAATGTCCAGCTTCTCCCCTTTTCTGGGAAGACTGACTATGCTGACAGAAGCTCGAACAAAGCCATCATGATTGACCAGCAGGAACCTCTGCAGATCCAGTAGAAGTTAGTACTGCTTTCTCCAGTTCCCCTATTTCTACTGGTCTTCCTCTGAAAGGAGGGGAGGTCCCATAGGACTGAAAAAGGAAGGTGACCCAAGAGACCCATGCTGTACACTCTTCGCATTCTCCAACTGGGTGCACTGGCCACAGACCCCATTAATGGAAAGCTCTCTCCTGAATTTTGTTGCAGCTTTTTTAAGCCTCTTCAGGCACTACACCCCTGTTTTACAGAAGGACAAGCAGCTTTTTAACCATGCTGCAGCCCAACCAGGAAGTGAATGGGAAGTCTGTCTGGGACTCAGATGGGAAGCTATAGGCTAAGTGGGATGATGCTGCCTCGTACAAAATATTTCATTCACCGATGTACCAGGCTCAGACTAAGCCAAGAGAGGTCTGGCACATGTAAGGAAGGACTCCGAGGACAGCAGCGCTTGGAAGGAGAGACGTGGGAAAGACAGGTCTCCAGCCCTGCTGCTAATGCAGGATAACAGTATTTATTTTTATCCTTTTTTCTTTAAAGAAAATATTATTCCTAGGAAATTAATGTGGATAAGAGGCAAAGTATCAGGTTTAGCATTGTAGGGGACATCTTAAATCATCCCTTCATCTCTCTGTATATACATATATAGATGTAGTCTTTAATTCTGCGACCACACACCTCTTCTCCCACAAGACTCCATTTTCCTCCTGCATACACAGTGGGTGCACAAAGTGGGAAGAATAAAAGCTATGCAGGAGACTGTCTATAGGGCAGATACTGATTCTGCAAGCTTAAAGGCATCCTCTGAATATCACTTTATTCCTGCACAACCTCATACTTAGGAGTAGCACAGATTTTAACAAGTACATGGACCCCAAGAACAAACAGGTTTAAAATCGTCCCAACACTCTGGTCCTCTCCTTAGTTTACAGGTCTGTATTGAACACACCAGAAAGGATCCATAGCCTAACGCCTTGTAGTGGTCAGGAACGCGGTTCATGCAGGGAAGAAGCCCAGCTCCTGGTGGGCTTTTTGGCACTGTGGAGCACAGTCTGGAGGCAAGACATGACCAGGCAGAGAAGCGTTATAATTCCCCAAGGGTATGCCCAGCAGGAGAATCCAGGCTTTCTTCTTCAAGGGAGGCAGACATATCCTATACAGACCCTACAATCACAGCAGATGCCAGCCGTCACAGCAGCGACTGCCCTAGACAGGTGATTTGTAAGTTCTAAGACAGCCTCTAAAACAAATCTCCTAATTATACCTTTCACTGCCAAGGAGAGGTGTTGCATATCTAAGCCTCAGGACCTTCTAGAGATGTCTTCATGATCTTCCCAACACTGTGCCAGTGGCTCAGCCCCAAGGTCCCAGCTTTGCTGCTCTTTGGAGCCAGGCAGTGAATGGGAGCTGTGGCAGGGGCAAGAGGGAGGCATCAAAATTCCTGGTTAGCTCCTTTCCAAATCTGCCAGAGAGCAGATCCACCTCTTGCTCTTACTCTCTGATTGCTGAGCTTGAGTCTCCTCTCAAGGGATGTCTGAGTGATGGATTGGTCTAAGGACAGCAGTTGTTTCATGCAAGGATCATCTGCTGAAAGTTAGGAAGAGTCCAAGCCCACTGTTAAAGGGGTGATGGACAAATGCAAGTTCACATTCTACTTCAAGTACAGTCACCACACTTCTGAAGGCAGTACGCAAAGCAAGCCATATGATAAATATTCAACAGCAGACAGCTTGAAGAGTAATGGGTGTATTAAAAGTACTGTAATGTCTCATCTGATTTATGTTTAAAAGAGACATGTGCTGCCTCTGACTACAGAAGCTCCAGCTGTAGAGGCTCTGTCACTCAGCTGTCTCCTAGGAGCTCCCGTTTCACGTTGTTCTTGTTACTGTGCTCTTGGTTCACCCCTCTTTTTACCTGAGAGGTACTAGGTCTGTGTATGTATCGCCAAGAAATGTGTTCAACCCAAAATCAACTTCTCAGATACTGAGTCTGCTTATGAGAGGAGGTCAGACTCTTTTTGCAGTTACACTGGGGTTGCATTGGTAAAAAAAGAGTAAAGAATTTAGCTCTCATGCAGTTACAGGTTCTCCCTTTGGGTTATGTAGCTTTCTCCAGCGTAACTGACACCATTTTGCTGCTCAAGTATTTTTGTGAAGGCTTCTTCTCCTTACACATAGCTGTTACTATTTTTATACACTGAAGAAGCACAGATGTGCAATCAGAGATGACACAAATTCCCTTCAATGCATTTAAGTG